GCCTAATAGCAACATCACAATCTCAAACAAACCAACACGATAACCTCTGAGCACCACTGTCACTACCTCCAACAAACTACCACTTTCAACTTCAAAACCACCACCGCCAACAATAAGATTCTCCGTCTCCGCCACCAACAAAACCACAGCCACCACCAGATCCAACGTAATCGCCGCTACCCAAACACCACCACAGCCCCCATCTACCAACTGAAAACATAACCTAAAAATCCCACACTAGATCACGGCGGTGCAAATTTCGACCATGACGCATAGCCAACCCCAACCATAGCACAAATAACCACCACCGTCCTACACCAGATAGTTACGATGAGGCGCTGTCGCAGCGCGACGGGCACTCTACGCAGAGATGCCCCCATCTGTGGGTAGAAGTTAGGGGCGGATCCAGCACCTGGCTAGCCCCGCGGCCACCCGTGCTGGATCCGCCGGGAGATTCAGCATTCAGGTTGCCGTTCGCTGCCCGCCGGGAAGAAATGGAGAAGAAGACACGGCTGCACCAGCCAAGAATGGGTTGGTTGGGCCTGAATTTTTTTTTCCTTTGTTTTTGTTTGGGCCTTTTCAATGAATGGGCTAAATCCATGATTATTGCCTTATTGGTCCATCAGAGCATGGATAGATTTATCATTTATAGGTTCAGCCACGAAACCTAATCCTTGGAGACAACCAGAAGGAACGCTGTGGAGGTGCTGACGACGACTATCATTTGATGAAGGGTACTCACACCTTTTTTGGAAATGAGAATCTTATGGTCATCAAAGATGGAAAATCCGTTCACTGACTGTTGTTGCACTTTACCTGGCTCGGGTGCATTTCAACTGAGCTGTTGAGTGTTTGGGGTGTAGTTTGTGGCTGTGGAGGCTGATATGATGGTGGCTGTGGATAAGGGTTTGTGAGGATGAAGAGAAGTAATTACTTCTTGTTATTGAAAGAGATAGAAACTATGGGGATCCAAAGAAAGTTGCCATTTTTCACATACAAAATCTTGGTTCAAAATTTCGGGATTTAGAATGGGAGATGGATATTTGTAGTGAACGTAATGTGAAAAAGTGGCCTTTGATCCGGTTCACATCTCTTTAGATGAAAGAACATGTCATATATATATATATATCCTTTTTTTTATTTGTTTGTGGGATGTGATTTTTGTGGGTTTTGTTATTGAATTTTTTATTTGTACAGGTTTTGGATTTGTTTCGTAAGACCTTTACCTTCATGGGGTTTTCAGTGCTTCTATTAAACTACCTTCAGATTACACTGTTGGTGTCGTCGGTGCATTTTATGTAAGTAAATCTTGATTTAGTAATTCATTTTTTATTCAGTTATGACTGTTGAATGAAACCCCTGATTCTTAGATCTCTTTGAAATTTCTGTTGCTGAAAAACTCAAAACAAAAATATGTAACTAGATTCTGGATGTTGTTAATTTTGATAAACATTACATGGGGACCACTGGTGAACGATGAGCGCCTCCTTTGCCCTATAGTTTTGTTGTCCATAAGCAAATTTTGGTTTTTCAAAATTATTGATATGAAAATTAATACATACTGATACCAATTAATTAACTAATTTTTTTGACTTTAGACATCTTAATATACCATTAATTCTAAGAAAATAAGTGATAGAGACTTCAGACTTGCAATTGCATGGTGGTGAACCGTTTCCAACTTCACTCTCTGTTTTTCCTTTTTGTATTATCGTCTGAGACAGACTATGAGTTATGATTTTGATTTGTGAATTATGATTTGAGAATTTAGGTTTTTAGAAAATTAGGATATGTGAAAAAAAATTAGTGAAGATATGTTGGGCTCAATTAAACCATGTGTACATTGTTTTTAAATCCTCAACGTCGGACTGCCATCTCGTCGAAGTGGAAGTGAGAGAAAGAGAAGATAAGGTGAGGGTAGAGAGTGAGAGTAAAGAAATGAATTAGATAAATGATTAGGGTTTTAGTTGAGTGGTTATATATGCATATTAAGAGCTTGTTTGGGACAGATTTTCATTTTCTATAATAAATCAATTCTCATTTTTAATCACACATTCTGTAATAAAATAATATTTCTCATCACATCAATACTTTTTTCTTCTTTTTCAACCACACATTTTCCATCATATCACTATTCAAAAATCAATTATTCTCTCAAAAATCCCTACCAAACACACACTAATTTGATTTTGTAATATAATTATTAATATTAAAATGTTTAATTATAATCTGATTTTTTAATAAACAAACTTTGGATATGATTTTTGAAATTGGATCTTAAAACATATGAATGGGTGTAATTTCCTTTTGTCCACTTCCTAAATAAAAGCCTTTACAGACTTTGGGCCGCTGCCATCCAAAAACCCTAGCCACTCCAATTCGCAAGGCATTATCCTTGGTTTACGGTTTTTTATTCGGTTCTCGCAGTCGAAGAGAAGCGTGGGAGCGGAACTCGCAAAAGCAAGCGAAAGAGTGAAACGCAAATATGCCTGCTGGACACGGATTAAGGTCGAGGACTCGGGATCTTTTCGCGAGGCCTTTCAGGAAGAAGGGCCCGACGCCTCTCTCCATCTACTTGCGGACCTACAAGATCGGAGACTATGTCGATGTCAAGGTGAACGGGTCAATTCACAAGGGCATGCCCCACAAGTTCTACCATGGCCGCACCGGCCGCGTCTGGAACGTCACAAAACGCGCCATAGGTGTTGAAGTCAACAAACAGGTCTAAATAATTTATAGTACGTATTTTGTATCTACATTTTGTGTAAATATGTTTTTGAGTGATACTGTTTGGTAATCACTGTTCGTTTAATCGAGTTTATATTAGTCAACGTCGAACTGGTTTTGCTTTTATAACATTTTTTTTTCTTTTGGTAGACTTACATGTTTGCATTTATTTTGTATATATGTGTGGTTATTTGGTGACGAAGTGGATATTATAGTTAATTAATTTTGGAAATGACTGGTTGAGATTTGAGCATATATAAGTTTTGAGTTTGTTATATGAACAAATTTGTGGTTTTGCTGGTTATTGACTCAATTCATGCTTGCTCTTGTAGTTTTGTTTTGGGGGTTGGGGAGTTGTGGCTCTGTCATGTTTGTTTGCATATCTTAATTCTTATAGTATATGTGCATCTTATGTGAATTTGAATGGTTCCATGTACGTACCTGTGATAGACCCCAATAATATTCACATATGCAAGAAGAAATAAGAAGGAAACTATGATTAACAAAGAGGCAGCCAAGTCAGCAGAGTAACGAGTGTCAGCCTAGTAGCAGGGGCAGTATGTTATTTACCTGCAGTTAGTTAATTTGTTTAGCCTTAAGGGGGGAAAGGGTAGTGAGTCAGTTGAGTGAAACACCAATAAATGTGAGGGGGAGAGGGAGTAGAGAATTCATTGATTGATTAGTTTGTTGAGTTAGGGGGAGAATTCATTGTCTTAATCTTCCATTGAATACCGAGTGATATGTTACAATTTACATATCCGGCCTACATCATCATATTACAGAATTGTTTCCTAACACTTCTGTTGATCAGCTAGTAGCAGGGGTTTCCCAGCAGTTGAGCAATCCAAAGCAGGAGCATCATCTCCAGCAGCTAGCCTATCACCTGTAAGACCAGCAGCAGTGAACCAGGGTCCTATCAACCTATTTTGTGTTTCTGATTCCAAGTGATTGCTAGTTTCTAGCTGTGTGGACATATTAGTGTGATTATAGAAGCTTGTGTTAATATCTGCATACGGCTCTTCTTAAAAGTTTTTACTTGTAGATGAAGCTTAATATGCTTGTTTGCTTAATGTATTTGTCGCACTTGGAGAAGGGGAAGTGAACTCTTAAAACTGATTTATTTTTCTAATTTCATGATTTTGCATTTGGCAAATAAGTTTTAACAATTAGTTGAAAAAGTAGTGCTCAACAGTTATGATTTGGCACACAAATGTGAACTTAGAAAAAGTGAAAAGGGGATAAAATATTTAACATTGTAAATGTGTAAACAGAGACTGAATGTGCAACAACTGCCTATGTAGAAGTTGAATGCTGTTTACTGTATCTTATCCATTTCTTTTGCTTAAATGCTTATCTGTATCCTGTGGAAGGTGAAGTCAAAAGTTAACTTCAAGCTGTATGAGTTTGGTATGTTAAGGGCTTATGGTATCTTAATATTCGCTTTCTTTCAGTGCCATCTTATATGCTATTTTCTCCCAATTTTGAATTTTGTTCCTGATATTGGATTATTGGTCTGTCTGCCATTTATATGCAAATTTTCCTGAAATTTTGAGTTCTATTCCTTCCCATTTTCATGCCAATGTCCTTTTTCACCTAGTGACGGTTGTTCCTTTACATGGAACTGATTTCAGAAAGAATTGATTGTTGCTTTTCACAGTTAATGCATAATTGGTGGATCTTTATTTTGTTATTTGATGGTCCACTCAACTACATGGTTTTATGGTTTAAAATGGATGTTGGTAATCGCATAATAAGGAAGAGGATCCATGTCCGTGTTGAGCATGTGCAGCCCTCACTCTGCCATGAGGAATTCTTGTAAAGAATCAAGAGAAATGATGCATTAAAAGCGGAAGCAAAAGCTAGAAGGAAAGTGATAATTTGTGGATCAAGCTTACAGAAGGGTGGGATGGGTTACTAGAACTTTTGTGTGAACACTTTATGTTGTCAACTTATATGGATTACTATTTTATTCTGATATGGATTACTATTTCATTTCATTTTGAACCTTCTTTTTATTTAAGTGGTGTTGTATTACATTCTAATGTTCAAGTGTATGGATTCAAAAATTTGTAATGAAATTATCAATTTTTATGCAATTCCAAAATTTGTTCACAAAGTGCCATTTTCAATTTTGTCGGTCAATTATTAATATATAAATGTAATAAAAAAATAAAAAAAAAAGTATACCGCAATGTTGAAAAACCACTGCAAATGGGTCTACCGTAACGTTTAAAAAATGCTGCAAAAGAGTTTTTCACAACGGTAAATAAACGCTGCAAAAAGTCTTCCCCAACGGCAACACCGACCTCCGCAACACCTGGAAAAAGGCTGCAAAAGATCTTTTGCAGCATTTTTTGGCTCTGCAAATGCCTTTTTTTGGTGTAGTGTAGAATCAATGTAAGAATATCTTGGATCTTTAAAGGATGATAGGAGGAAGTAATATAATGATCTCCTTTCTAGTTTTTTTTTTTTTTTTATTATTATTCAATATCTATTTCAATTTGAGGATTCTTTGTAATTGATTCAAGTCCAATTTCTCCTCAATTTGATGTCTTATTAATTTTTTATTTATGGATTTTAGTTTTTTGTTATTGTTACTTCTTTTTCACATTGTTATTATTTATTTTTCCAGAATATCTAAGTAAAATTTTTGCATAACAAGAAAATCATTTTCTTTAAATGTTTTTCAATTTGGCAATTTGAAGGTTGCAATTCACTTTTTCTGAATTGATTTTTGTATCTTAGGCTCGAAGTTGAGATAATTTTGAGCACTCCTATAGAATCATTGACTTCAATCAAGAATATTCAAATTTGGCAGCTGGTTTTGACACAACTTCTTTCGTAGAACTTGGATACTACTCGGAGAACAACCTTTAACTGGAGATGTTCAAAGAATCATGAAAAGTTTTAGAGCCTCTCATTGTTGATGAATGTAGACAAGTGTCTTTTTTAGTTATTTGTCGATTAAAAATAGTGTACTATGTTAAGAATTGATGTTCCATCTTAAAAGATCGACCTTATTAAGAGGAATAACACAAACACTTATAAATTGGTCTACATTTTCATCCTTTTTAGATATGAGATTTTATCCCTTAACATGCATCCGCAAAATGGAAGCTCGCATGAGCAAAGTAATCTTGAAATCAGTGTGCTTATTTTTTTAGAGTTTTAGTCGGATCGAATTGCTCATTAAAATTTAATGAGCTCTGATACCATATTAAGAATTGGGGTTCCATATTTAAAGGTCAACCTTATTAAGAAGAACAGCCGAAACCTTTTTAAATTGGTCTATGTTTTTATCTTTTTTAGTTGTGGAATTTTATCCCTTATTAGACGTGGGATTTTATCCCTTAACATATTGTGAACTACATTTGTACTCGAACTCAATGTTTACAAATGTAGATGACTTTGTCTGCTATGAGCATCGTGTTCCTATATTTAACATAGGCCTTGTTTGGCCTCATTAAAATTTTAATACGTTTTTCCGTATCTTCTTTTCAATCACACATTCTTCAATAAAATAAAATTATACATAAATCAAAATCTTTTTCTTTAACCATACATTTTCTAAAAAATTAGTATTCCAAAATAAATTATTTCCAAAATCTCATTAAAATGGGGGCTAAACTAGGGCAAAATATTTATGTGAATGCTGATGAAACTGTTACACCCCACTCATTCTAGTCAAAGTCAAAAATTCAATTGGTCAAAGTCAAGGTCAAATAGGGACTTCATTGGAATAACTTATTTTCTTGGGGCTTATTTTACAATGGATAAAATATTTGAGGGAATAAGATGAAAATCATTTAAATGTTGGGACTCACTTTTAAAGTAGTGAAAGACAAGGATTTAATGGGCCTTATGTTATGGTTGGAGGACTTGACTTGCAAAATGGGCATTAATGGAATACAAGTGGCAATTTTGGAGCTCATTCTCTCATTTTCATTGTAAACACACACGAAGAGAGCTGAACAGAGAAGGAAAATCGCCAGAGAAGAAGAAAACTGAAAAAAGAGAAGGAAAAAGGGAAAAAACAGGAAAAAAAGGGTAATTGTTGAATTCTTTATTCTTAGGTTCAAATTATCTATTACTTTATGAGATAAAGGAATTATTTATGTTGATTTCTAGGGTTCTAATTGGTTGAATTAATTTTCAGATTTTGGGAAAGAGTAGGATTTCAAGCTGATCTTTTGGTTTTGTGAAAACGAAATTTGTATCAAGGTAAGGAATTTTATTTTTGAGCAGACCCTAGGATTTTTAGTTGGAGTCTTGAATGAAGGGTATTGTTGAATATGGTTGTGATTATGAAATATTTACTTGGAGTTATGAAAGTATGGAATAAGATGAGAATTTAATTGGTTGAATTGTAGTTATTAGTTGTTACTAGATTGAAGTGGAGATGTACATTTATGCTTGGAGTGAAGATTATGTTGATGAATTGATTATTATTAGTAAATGGACTAGAAAGTGTAATTAGCCCCAATTGATTAAAGGAATAATATGGGAGGTTATTTCAAGTAACGAGGAAACATATATAATATTGTTACCTCATTTGTGTAGTATGCAGGTGATAGCTATAATTTAGAGGCAAATCAAACGATATATTAATATAAGGAATGAAATTGGAAGAGGTAGCTGATTCTTCTAAGTCGTTAGAGAAGAGAGAGCAAATGATTAGCAAAATTGTTACTAGTGGTGATTTTGTTGGTAAATAATCAAAGAGAAGAAAAGTTGGGGAAATGGAGATGTAAGAGTAAATATAGAAGTTGAGGAGTTAAGTGGTGGATTTGTATTAATTTAATTGCCAACTTTTAATTTGAGTAATTATACAGTTTTGTAGGTAGTGACGTGAAAGCTTGGAAATGCTCGTCTATATAGCCAGACTATTATCCATATATATGTGAGTGGAAAAACTTAAATATTGTTCAAGTATCGATAAGTAATTATATTATTATACATTTTATGCAATTATGTGAATTGTTTGTCCAATTACATGATTAAAGTCGAAATATTCCTTCATTATGATCGGTGTGGAATTTTAAAGATTGTGTATAGATTATTTGTGAATTGGAATGTGAGACTTCTCTGGTGATCACGATGGCAGTTAGAGGATGTGCTTTTAGTGATCACGGGATGATTGACCACTTGCTTGTGTTGTGTGATATGGTGATTGTTAGCAACTCGGGTGGGACACGTCCTGGGTGATCATGGAGGCTGTATGGTCACAGGAGGATGGTCCACTCGATTGTGATATTGTGATTACTGGCATTTCAGGTGGGATTCTTCTTGGGTGATTATGGAGGTTGTCAGGGGATGTACATCTGATAATCACAGGAGGATGGGCCACTCGACTATGCCTGATTGATTATTGGTTACTGATGTTGATGTTACGTAGAGTTCTATTCGGTACCTAGTATGTGTGTCAATGGCCCAAATAAAAATAAAAGTTTCAAATGAAAATATGTTGAGTTTACATTGATGATATTATCATGTCTGCGAGATGATATTTTTCAACGTTATGAGGTGTCTCACGTCTTGATTACTATTGTATGTTGTTATAATGTGAACTGTCAAATGATTTCCACTTGGTTTTCGATAAAAATAAAGTATAATTATTTTGGAAATTTTCTACCCACTGGGCTATCAGCTCATATATTTTCCCACAAATTTTCCTTACAGGTGGTATTGATTTTGGATAGCTTGAGGAGCCTGATGATTTCAGAGTTTAGCCACACGATGTGATTCATTTTGGTAGAGCATGTAAAAATTATTTTGGGCCCATTGCGTCATATTCTGCATAAAATATTTGGTTTTGGCACATAAATTGTAGTAACTTATAGTCAGCATTGGTGGCGGATCCGACACCTAGTCAGCATCTACCATCGGCGCACGTCACGTTTCGAATCCATATGGTGATTCGGGACAGGTCGTGTCATAAACTAATCTGC